GTCCAAGTCTGAGAATGTATAGGGCCGAAGCTCGTTGCCGGTCTCAACTTGGCTGTGCGACACACAACGTCTCTAAGCCCCATGTTGAACCCGCGCGGAGTGTCACCAATCAGTCTCTCAAAGAGTCTTTGTCAACGACGGACATGAATAACCCTCTGCCCAAGAGTCAACTATGGAACCACTATTGAACAGCGTTCACGACGGGGCCCTCAACCTTGATTCGAAGGGTCTACGAGAGCCTTGTGGTCCACAGCTGTGCAATACCTCTCGGGGAAGGTCCAGCGATAAGGCCCAGACGCTTGCTTCTGGCCCAGTCTGCCGCCCAGCAGAACCCAGGCCTGAACAAGCTGGTGCCCTGTATTGATATCGGGCTTGATTTTGGGATGTTCCCCCTTATTACTAACAGTCCTTAAGAGGGATTACAATAGGGGGCACTAATCTTCCCAAGCTTGATTTCTAGAACTTGCGTTTCCGAGACACAGACTGGTGGCAAAAGCTCGGGCACTGCTGGCAACTTGAACCCGAAACAACCCCAGACTTCTCTCGCTTTGTCTTGTTCACAGCATGCCCAACCTGTGAACATTTCACTTTCCCGGGATTTTTGGGCCTACTCACCCGGCCTCAAGCACGACAGTAAGCAAAAAACATCTCTGCAAAGGACTGAAAGCTCTCGTCGAGTTTCTGACAGAGGACGACCCAATCCACGACACTAGCCCTGAACCCTAAACCGTAACTCCTAAACCAGGCACTGCGAACAACAAAACTCCGGCCTTTCGCTTCATCACCTGGCGTGGTTCGGGGATTCGGTAAACCTCGCCTCCAAACGATATTAGGGCTTTAGGTTCGGATGTTCCCCCCCTGCTCCCGCTTACACTAGCAGTCCTGAATCGGGATTCTCGTACCCCCTATTCCAATCCCTATTGAGGACTCTTAGTCTCAGGCGGAACATCCCCAGCTTTAGGGGTTGGAGGGTCGAACCCCCCCTAAGGCAAACCAAGCCCGCACAAAGCCCAAAAAAACACAAACTCCAAGACCCCCTGAACTCTTCAGCCCGCTCAACTCAGGGTTCAGGGTTTAAGGGTTTAGGGTTTAGGGGTTTCGGGTTTAGGGGTTTAGGGGTTTAGGGGTTTAGGGTTGAGGGGCTTGAGGGGCTTGAGGGGCTGGAGGGGTTTGAGGGGCTGGAGGGGTTTGAGAGGTTTAGGGCTGACAGCTCTCTTTAACCGCGGGCCTCAAGCTGCTCTTTGGAATTTGGGGGAGCTTTGGGCCCTGAAACGCCCCCCAAATCGCCACCAAGACCTCCCTAAACGTTGAGGGCTTGTAGGGTTTATAGGGTTTACTGATGGGGTTTAGGGCTTGCCTGGCAGTCGTACACAGCTTTGGCCCGCTTGTTTTGCATTTTTTGGACACGACGGCCTCTCTTGGCCACCTTCACACTTCTAGCAACCGTAGGCGGCATCGCACTCACCGTCCGTGCCCACTGTGCACAAGTAGTTCAGCGGGCCTGTGGGAGCACTCTCCCTAAACCCCATACTATAACCCTAAACCCTATTAACCGAAACCCTTGACCCTATAACCCTAAACCCTACACCCTAAACATCTCTAAACCCTTCACCCTCAACCCCAAACCCTCAGGGGGCCTGTGAGTGCGCTCTCAACTTCAGCAGATGTCGCCCCGCAAACGCCCAAGTTGTTGTCAGGAGAGAAGCCATCTTCGGGCTCTTTCCAGCACTGGCGTTTGGCGCACGAGATCCTGGGTTGGTCCCCCAGAAAACACTCCGAAAAATAGCCCTAAACCCTAAACCCTCAACCCTCAACCCTGAACCCTAAACCCTATGATCCTAAATAGGACATCCTCTTCAACCCAATCAAGGGCAGACAGAGAAAAAACATCACAAGGTCCGACCCAGGATCTGGTGTGCGTGGTACTTGCTGCCTCTGAAGCCGGCCACATTCACGCAGGCGTCGTCAAAGAAGTAGACGCTCTCGTCGGGGATCTCCACACCAGCATGATGCTTGTAGTACGCGGTGACATTTTGGACAAAGTCCACCTTGCAAGTCCCCGAGTAGTGTCCCAGGGCAGGGTTCTTCTTATAGCACGCGTCTCCGATGTTTATGACAAAAGGCTTCATGTCTTCTGGTCCAGCTTCCAGGGCCTCCAGAGCATGGATGGAGCACTCTTTCCCTTTGAACGTCTTCCTTAGCAAGTAACCATATCATAATAAGGGTGCCCCTTTTTTGGTTGGCTACGGTATAAGGGAACCCAGAACAAAAGAAGGGTAAAGGGTACCACTGGGCTACCAAGCTTCTTGGGATCACTGCAGGGAAGCTGTCGATCTTCGTCGACGTCGTCGAAATGAAACTGCAGCGTGTTGACCATTCGAAAATAGCCTGGGCTGGGCCCTCTAAGCCTCTAAGTCCTCTGAAACATGATCTTACAACCCCCCCTCCCCCTCAAAAAAAGAGGAAGTCCACCCAGCTACCTTCCTTGTAGTCACTTGTGACCTTTTGGCCACCGATGGAGCCCACTGAGAGGATCCCGGAGTAGCAGTACTTGCCACAAAAGCTGCTCTTGTAATTCACGAAGAACTCCGAGAGTCTCAGGGTGAGGTTGGGGCCACTGAAATTTTGGGGATAGGCGGAATCATGGGAGAGCGGCTGATTTGAACTCCCATCGCATGTTGGGTCAACGTGCTCCACACCAGACTTTGGGAACTGAATGGTGTCATACGGCGGATTGTACTGGTGATCTTGGATCGCCGTGAGCGTTCTGTCTGTGTCGAAAAGGCAAAGGCACGGCTGCTGCGGAATGGCTCTGGAGGACTTCGAGCCTTTCGAGCCTCTTCTCTGCAGCAACCTCAAGCCGCATTCGGCGTCTTCTGCGTCACACTCGTCGCCAAGAACGGCTTCATCAGCGTAAGCATAGGCCACGAGGACACCTGCAAGAGCAACCAGGCGCTGCATCTCTCTGGGAGGTCTGGGAGAATTTCTAGCTGCGAGGAAGATCTAAAGCCGCAATGAACCCCCACTTGAGCCACAAGGGCCACTGCTGCCAAACGATGACCGTAGGACACAATAAGGAAGCATCATCGCATCAACATGTCTTTTCGAGCTTCTGCATTGCAAGGAACCGTGATGCCTGGTGCATCGAAGCCATGTACTAGTAATACAGCAATCTCATCGTGCAAGGCTATATCAATATACTAGTATCATATAGTATCATGATAAGCCAGCAACATAACAGAACAATATCGTAATATAGGAATTTAAAGAATACAATACTATGAAAAACAGTTGTATGAGATGAGAAGAATGGAGGAATGGGACTAGTAGAATGGTAGAGTAGCAGAACAAGAGATAACAGAATAGTAGAATGATCGAATGATGTCAAGCAGCCAGGGCTGGGCCCCTCTTCAGTTTCGCACCGCAGCTGAGGCAACTTTCGCTGGAACATCCCCGAAGTTGGCTAGGCTATCCTCCTGACACCAAAGATCCTGCCACCCCCACTCTGAAGAGAAGCAGCTTGCTAGCTTTAAGCTGTCATCCCACTCTGGTCTGCTACTCCTAAGCTACTCGTCTAGCCGCAAACACTCAAGCGAACCCTAAACCCTAGCTAAACCCCAAACCCTAAACCCTCAACCCTAAACCCTAAACCCTAAGCCCTAAACCCCAAACCCTAAACCCTCAACCCCCGAAGAAAGTTTTCTCAGCCCCAGACTTCGACAATGCCGGCGGTGAAGGCAAGGACCGCGGCCAGGATGGGCGTTTAAAAGCCCTCTGTTTAGGGCTTATGGCTTTACAGGGTTTAGGGTTTAGGGTTTAGGGTTTAGGGTTTAGGGTTTCGGATTTAGGGTTTAGGGTCTGTTCGCTTGATTCTGGGGCTTCCTTCAGGCCTCTCTACCATTTTTGGTGGGGCTTCTGGGCTTGGGTTCAGGCTTCGCATGCAGGGTTTTCGGGCATCGGAGGAATTTGTAAGAAGACCAACTAAACGAGGCACGAGCGACTTCCCCACGTGTCCGGTAGAATGAAGAGTGGAACCCTATACTGTGTAGGAGACTTAGGAGATTCTCTAGCAATCTCAAAAGGAGGCGGCTGAAAGACTGCAAGTTGACAGGATAGCTCTGAGCTGCTTGAGCCCCGAGGCGCCACGGGGATGAGAAATCGTGCGCACTCGGCCAAATTCACCAAATTGCCCGTCCTCGCCAAGACTCATCCGTTCTAAGTGCCCCCGTAGCATATGCGCTTGACTCCTTCCAGAAGAACTTGTAGAGGCACTGCGGCCGCAGCTGCAACCAAAAGGTTCGCGACATTGTCAAGCTTATCAGGTTCAAGAATGGGAAGCCACGATGTTCAGCGCTGTGAGTAGCCACGAATCCCCACATTAAAGGCCATGAGTGCCCATGTCATGTGGCTGCACTGGGGGACACCTTAGCACAGGCGCTGGAACCCTTGATCGGCTGAAAAATGTCCACGCCAAACCCGCAAGTCTCGCAGAATTGGAGTCCTTGCATGGACAGAGATCATTCGGGAAGAAAATGGGGTTTTAGGGGGAGGGGTGAAGGAATGGTTGCTTCTTCTCACATTTTTTCCCACAGTTTCTCACTGGGGGCTCCAACCACGTGTTTGATGTTCTCCTGCCTTTTTGAGCGCTTGAACTCCTCAGTCTCTTCGAGATGGAGACACAACTGCTGCCACTGTACAGGCTAGCGCGACAAGCACTTCAAAATATGTGGGCGGGAACAGCGTTGCAAGGCCGCCCAGTCGAGCAATCGCTCTTCAGAGCGCGATCACACTCACCTCATCGGCATGGCGGGCTGTTCAAAGCCCTACTTCGGAGGATCATGCATACGAAAAAAGTGGGTAAGTTGGTTGGCCATTGGCGATATTGGTATAGTTGGCTGCAGCCCCTCTGGTGCACAAAGCTCGATACTCTATACCTCTGATCACTACAAGTGCTGCCGCCCTTCTGCCCTCCGAAGACGTGCCAGGCCGCGCGCCTTCCTTCAAGCGCTGGTACCTCCACCTGCCAGGGCTTAGTAACGGTGTGTCGGACTCTGCAGGTCCATTTTAAGTATTGGGCTGAGCGTTTAGGGCTTTGGGTTTTTTCTTCCGGATACCGACTACTTGAGACGGTTTAGGGTCTACAGCAGTGCTTTTCAAATACTGCAAAACAAAGGACTTTCAAGTGTCTTTGGGAAGCTGAAAGTCAAACCCTCAAAGCCCTAACAAACCCTAAGCCCTGAGCTGAAATTCTCAACCCCAAGCCCGGAAAAGACCTGCAAAAGCCCTAAACCCCAAAAGACCTACGCCCGAAACCCCCCTCCCCAACAAGGGCCCTACAAACCTCTGAAACTAGACCCAAGAGCAACCTAGGAATAACAAGGGGTGCCCCTTTTTGGTACAAAGGGGCTTACAAGGGAAACCTGTACCCTAAAAACAGGGATATAAGGGTAGTAGCCGCAGCCCAAAACCCTAAACCCTAAACCCTAAACCCTAAACCCTAAACCCTAAACCCTAAACCCTAAACCCTAAACCCTAAACCCTACTCGGGCCCACTCTGGTCCCTAGGAAAGAAGAGGAGGCCTTGCGATGGCCGTCGGCCGGAGGAGGCGGCCTGGTCGTTCTTTCTTATCACTTCTGTTCACTGCGAGGGCTTGGGGACGGATCAACCTAGGGTAGACCGGAGACTTCCATAAGGAAGATGCCTTGGATCAGATTAGCATCCCTAACTCCCTAACACCCTAAAAAAATCTTAAACCCAAAGAACTCCCTAAACCCCATGAATCCTAACCCCTAAAGATCTCTAAGCCCATCCCTAAACCCTAAACCCTAAACCCCAAACCCCGAACCCCAAACCCTAAACCCTAAACCCTAAACCCTAAACCCTAAACCCTAAACCCTAAACCCTAAACCCTAAACCCTAAACCCTCCCTAAAGATTCTTCCGGGAGGCCTCCGTGAGCTTGTCGAAGCCCTGCGCTGCCTTGGAGAGCCCCAGCGACAAGCCGGAAGCAACCTGTCACAGCTGGGGCTTAGGGTATGGGGTGGTTCGGGTTTCGGGTTTCGGGTTTCGGGTTTAGGGTTTAGGGTTTAGGGTTTAGGGTTTAAGGTTTAGGGTTTCGGGTTTAGGGTTCAGGGCTTCAAAAACAACAGCATTCTCGGGGTCTTGAGGCTAGGACAACGGATTTAAAGAGATTCTTGATTCACAGCAGTCTCTTAACCCTGCAAACCCCAAACTCTAAACACGAAACTGTCTCAATGAATCCCAGACATTCCCAGACGTAGTCAACAGGTCGTCGCTGTGGGGACTCAGTCCCCAGTCTGCAGAATCGTAGTCGGGGTTGTGGGGCTGGGTCTAGGGCCAGAGTTTATGGTCTGGGTTTTCCTGGCTCCGCATCCCCATATACCCCCCCACACGTATACCCGTTGCCGAATCAACAGGGTTGATACAGTCGCAGCAACAAGGTACACGCTTTCCGAGGTAAGGGCGCCTCTTCACGACTAGCTCTTGATAACGGAGCTTGGGAAGTACACGTAGGGCACATAGGGTACTCAACTCCCTAGACCTAGAGCAATTCTCTGGCCTTCGAGGTGACGTGGTGCTTCTCTTCCACCTCGTGCGCCTGAGGCTTTTGAAACCTTTACCCCTAAACAACCCTAAACCCCTCAAAGCCCTAAACTCCTCTAAAACCCCCTACACAACCCCAAACCCCTATGAAGCCCTCTAAGCCCCAAACCGTGTGGTGGCACTAGCAGCCTCGGGTTCAAAGGGAGGCCACGGGCACTGTGTGCAAGTAGTAAGTCTAGTAGTTGCAATGGGGGGTTTAGTGGGTTTGGGGGGGGGTTCAGATGTCCCGCCCGCCCACCCAGCCCCGGGTACATCGTCAGGATTTTGGGTTTAGGGTCATATTAAATGATATAGCGATAACAACCCCCCCCCCCCTCTCCAATTATGAGCACAAGTTGGGCGGGGGGGGGTTGGTGTGGGAAGGAGAAACTTGGGCGTCTTATTGTCCAGCTTCCAACTACACACGGCTATGCCTGCATGTATTCAACATCTCTCGCCTTCGCCACGGCCGCAGACATGCCTTTGCTCACCTGTCCGGGGAAAGCTCTTGGACACTCATTGGCCAAAGGTTTCAAAGATCTGGGGTCATTTTGGTGGCCTTGAACTATCTGGGGTCATTTTGGTGGCCTTGAACTGTGTCGTACGGATTCTTGATTTCTTAATATGATTCAAGGCCATTGGAGGAGTATATTCCTTAGTCAAGGGAACTCAGTGGGAAGGGAACACGGCAGCCCTAAGCTAAAAGAATCGTAAAAAACCCTGTGCAATGATGTTCGGCGTATTCATAGTCGAGAACCTCTTCTATCCGGACACTTCGGCATTGATCATTTTAAGAGGCTCTTGACACCCTGCATCGGCCTTGTCCATGATGCCATACTGCTGATTGATGGTGCAGGCTGTTTCCACAGCCTGCACAGGCCGCCGAGCCCCCAGCCCCCCGAAGGCTGTCTTGAAGTCTAAACCCTAAACTCCTAAACCCTAAACCTTAAACCCTAAGTGTCGGAGGAATGAAACCGTGCACGCGCAGAAGGCTCAAGCATCACCAACGAGCCTTTCGCGGTAAGCGTGTAACGAAGCACGGCGAGCCCTGTTACATGTTCTGATTGTGGGCGAGCGTGCACCTGCCTTTAGATCCGGTATTGCACCCAGAGAACCTGTCGATGTACCATTTGACGGAAGGCCTTGTTCAACCCACAGGAAGGTCAGGTTTCGCATGCCATCCCGTTGCTGATCAAGCAGACGAGAGGCATGTGGCCCTTAAGCCCTATACCCTAAACCCAAAACCCCCCTAGACCCTAAAACGATCCGAAAGCCCCGGCTTGTCTTGAACCTGGACCCTCAGGGCCTTTGTTCCAGCATGCATCATCTTTCCTGAGATGTCATGCTCGCGGTCGATCTCGCGCGCCTGTCCGGCAAGCTCAATACATCTCAAGTTCAAGGAGGCCGTCCGGCACCAGCGGATCTACTAGGTAACATGTGATCCGTCTACCCTCGTGCTGGCAGCACCCAGAGCCCCTAAACCTAGCTGATCCTTATTATTATCATTATTATTATTCTTAGTATTGTTATTATTTTCACTATTATACTTATAATCATAATTATTCTTATGACTATTATATATGTATATATTAATAATTACTATTATTACTTTTGCTATTGCTATGAGTTTGCTCTTGGCGCTGGCCTTGTCGACGCCTTTGAGTGCCATGGAGCCCACGCCGCGTGCGGCGTCGCCAATCTGTCAGGTACTGACTGTTGCTTAGTAGGGAATGAGGGAATGAGGTACCCTGTACCCTATGTAATCCCTTAAAGGGTATATTTTGGGGGATACAGGGTACCTCATTCCCTCAGTCCCTTCAACAGTAACAGTACGGACATCGCGATGATGGCTTGCACATCTGCTCGGGCCATTATGTATCCTCTGCTTTACGGATAGAGCTTGGGATGTTCCCCCTTAATGCTAACAAGCAGTCCTGAGTAGAGATTCTGGATCCCTATTGAAGACTGCTAGTATAAGGGGAAAAACATCCCAAGATAGAGCTTTCTTTACGAAGCCTTCCATCGACTTCTAGACTTCGAAGCTTCAGCCCCAAGGGTGCTTGGGCCGCCAGGACCCCGACCCAAGCACCTCTGGGGGAAAGGTCTGGGAACCCGGTTGAAGTATCAGAGACGAGAGGTGACCAGAGACCTCAACTTCGCGGCGAGAATCGGCCTCATAATGCAAACGGAAGAGGGTTTAGGGTTGAGCGTTTTCGGGTTTAGGGTTTTGGGGCTTGGGATGCGCCAGGATGCGACATGCCAGCCACACCTTGTCAGAGCGCGTGGCCGCAATGCCGGCCTTGGCAGCAAGCCAGCAGGACTCTCCCAACGAGGACACTTGCGTTCCAAAGCAGATAGTCTCTCACACACGATCTTTTCAAATTACCAGTGGTATACAGTAGATTAAATTCCTAGTGATATACTGTAGATTATAACATGAGATACAACGTCAATAATGCAGCTGCATAGACATACACTACAAGCCTAGGAAGGAAGAGAGGCATCCGAACCTCCCCCCTCCTCCCCTCACATGAGGCCATGGAGAGCACTTAAGTCATCACCTTAAGGGTTCAGGGTTTAGGGTTCAGGGTTTAGGGTTTAGGGTTTAGGGTTTAGGCCTAAAATTCTCTGAAACATCTGCCCGACATACCTGAAGACTCACTGAAGAAATAGGAAAACTAGGCTCATGAGGGTTAAAAAAAACCTTCCCCTAGGGCCCGCACGGCTGCAGCTCCACCAACCGCACCTTGGGCCATGTGATGTTGGCTGAACATGAGAGGAGCATACATCCATTCCATGCCAGGCCTCCCGAATGACTGGCTGGAGCTCACATAAAACTCACCCTCAGCGCTAGGATGGGCGCCGACGGTCACGAAGCAGCCGAGGGTACTGCCCAAGACCTCGAAGTCTTCAGCACTTCAGAGTGATGCCCTTGCGCCCCACTTTTCATTTAAGATATGCGCACGGCACCAGAGAAACAAAGCGTTTCGACATCACAGTTGTGCCGTTACCGTCTCAAGTGTGGCTGACAGCACAAGGCTCAAGGTGTGAGGACCAGGACTCGCAGCAGAACCAAGGCGACTTATCCGAACCCAAAAAAGCCGAACCCATTCAGCGCGACAGCTGACTCGACTTCGCAGCAGAGGCGTGGCCCGAGGCCACGGCCACAGCACCACCGACGGCGCCCACAGCAGCCACGGCTGCCAGCTGCTTCGCTCCGCCTGAAGAGGCTTAAACCCTCCAAAACCCTGAGCAGCTTGGCGACTGCTCTGTAGGCCTGTTTGAATTATATTGTAGGTTCCTGAGAAGTAGGAGCCCGGAAGCCCCCCGCACAGCAGCAGAACTCTGCTTCCTGAGGCGATGCCAGGAAACAGAACCGACTTCGCAGACTCTGTCGGGATACAGCCAAGCCACACCACAACAACAACAACAAACAGGGAAAGAAAGGGAAAGAAAGGCAGACGGAAGCTGTCACGCGGCAGGAGCGGAGACTGCAAGGCGACTGCCGAAGGAAAGGGCTTCGGCGCTCCCACGAACCAGCGACTCTGAAGCGGGCCTGTTGCTGACAGCTCGGGATGTGTGTACTCAAAAGATTTAGGGCTCCCCAGTAACCTACTGCGGTGGATTCAGAGGGCTTTCTTTTTGCTACTGCATATTGACCTAGGACCACCCCCTGAAGACAGAAACGCAAGAACCTAGAGCCGCCCAGTGAGACATCCGTTTGAGAGCCTGCAGCTGATGCAGCACGCCCGGCATCGCCTGCCACCTGTGCATCCCAACACCGCACCAAACTCTCTCAGGGACCTGGGTTCACTTGGGGGTTTACGACAATGGGGGTACCTTATTGGGGTCCTCATGATAAAGGAATCCTTCTATTTGGGGGACTATGTTTTAGGGGTCCCCTATTTTCGTAACCCCCATTTCCCAAACAGTGTGTCAACACGTAAGGGGCTTCTAATGTCCAGAGTCTCAAAGCCTGCTTGCGTCTTGGACAAAAATCGCGCTCTCGCCTAGGCGGGGGCGTGGTGCTCGCAGTCCTCGAAACTCGAAAGTGTCATCGTTTTTTGGACGTCTGGGCTCACGAGATGCACAACTGTCGTCCGCTTTTGGACGCCTGGGCTCTTGGTGGAGCAAATGGCGGCTCCTCCACATTATGGTCCCTTTTTTGGCTTCCTAGTATCATAAGGAGCCTTCTGTGTAGGGTACCCAAAGAAAGCCCCTAAGCTAGAGAACTGCCCCAAAGCATGGCCTGCATCCCAAGCTGGACCGCCCGAATCCTTAGCGAACGGTGCGGCATGGTTACTGAGGGATCTGCGGCCTGATTTTAAGGGGAAAAGGCCCTAGAAGCGACCCTTAGTCTTATTCCCCTATGTAACCCCTATATATACCTTATATAGTCCCGATATACCGAATGCACCCCGGGCCAAGGCAGCTTCAGCAAGCATGTCAGGTAGCGAGTGTGCTCAGACCACGTCTTGCTTTCCGTGGCGGTCTATCTCGCAACCGCTCATCGACGAATCTCGCTTTCTCTCTGGCCTCTCTTGGAAGAGTAGCCTTCCCAGGAGACTTAGCAAATCTAAATCAAATAAAAAGATGGACCTTTGATTGTGCGATGGGCAGTCTAAACTCGAACACCCTAGCCAGAGCCAGAGACATGCCCATCCTCGCAGATCACTCCAAGGCGCAGGCTGCTGCTCCACCTGAAAAAAATGCCAGGCTGTGCAAGGCAACTTCGGCATCAGAACATGAAGTGAAGATTCGCACTATTATGCTTGGCTCCAGGAGTTTTCAGTGGCATGGAGGAAGCCTTAAGCCTTGCGACCCCCCAATGCGGTCCGACTCGAAACTTTCTTTGCTTACGGTATTGAGGTGCGCTCGTGATGGATGCGAGCGCCAAGTCTATGACTGTTACGCATTGGGAGCCTTATGAACCGTCTCGATGTCGGGTTCCGGCACTGACCAAATCTTGTCAAAACCCTAAACCCTAACCTCGGTCACTCCTCTCCTTGGTACCCCAGCAACCATATACTACAATGGGTTGGTTACTATCCTCAGGGAGTGAGACGGCTTCTTGACAGGTCATTACAAGCTTCAGCTCATCTTGGTAAAAACATGCCGCTGGGCTAATGTAGGGGCCTGAGTAATTTCATTAGGGTTTTTAAGGGGAGTTATTAATAGAATATTTATAAACGGGACCCTAAGGGCCTAAGGGAATAACATTTAAAGGTGTAATTATAGTATATTTATAAAGGGACCCGAAGGGCCTAAGGGAATGCTATTAGTATTTTTATCCGACCCCTTTAAAGTACCAAGTCTCAGAGTCCACTCCCCCCCAGATTTCTCCGAGGTGCTGGGATGGCGGGAGGCCCATTTGAGGACTTCAGGTGCTGGATGCGGGCGAGAACCTGCAAGATCCCCCCCCCTTAAAACTGAGGGTTTAGGGTTTAGGGTTTAGGGTTCAGAGGGGTTCCTGTAGCCAAGGTTGCAATTTGAGGAAGGGGGGTGGGTGGAGTAAAGTTTCTTGTGCATGGGCACGCAAAGTGGATCCTTGAAACTTAGTAGCCCAGTAACCATATGAATGTTCGATCCGCCCCGCTTTCGCCCGGCCCACGTGTCGCAAGATGCTCACTTCCCCGCAGGCTTCATTTCCAGATACTTGAAGGTTCATGGGTGCGTGTAGGGTTTAGGGCATAGCGTTTAGGGTGAATCTGGTGACCATTCCACCATGTCGGGTCGTTTCAGTTTACTGAAGTGCCTCGAGACCGTACTGAACTCTCAGCTTGGATCCTAGCCAAGTGCACGGCTTCGTCACGAAAATCTCCGTGTCTGATGCCCCAGACAGTCAACAAATCTCTGACGTAGCTTCCTTGCAACGGTCGCAAGAAATGACAACCCTGAAGGACGATGCTCGACAAAAGATGGTGTCGGAACGCAGGAGTCTGGAAGTCTGGAAGAGGAAGAAGAAGCAGCAGCAGCAGCAGCAGGCAGCAGCAGCAGCAGCAGAAATATGACAAAGCAAGATATGCTAGTATGTGCACGATGATGTGTTCTGGGGACAGGGATTTGGGCAGAGGCCTGTGCCTTCAAAAATGGCGCGCGCTAAGCCCCCTAAACCCCTAATCGAAAGAGAGAACATCGCCATTGTCCTGTTGATCCCCGTCACGACTTTGGGCAAGGCTTAGGAAGTCGGAGTCAGTCGAAGTCGGAGTCAGGCGACGTTCGCGAAACAAACTTCTTGGCTCACGGCTTACAGTTTGGGCTTCGTGCTTCAGGTGTTCATCCCCACCCCTAATATTAAATTTCCCCCTATCCCCCCTCCCATATGCTATAGTATAACTATGCTGGAGGGTATTTTCTATTAGTGGGAAGGGGGGTCGAATATCAGGTGTTTAAGCTTTTCAGGGCTTCCGTGCCTCCTCACGGTGCTGCACCAGCTTCGGATGATCCTTCCGGGATTTCAGCACATCCCGCGCAAAGACATGAGCGGCGCCATTTCACGGCCAAGCTACTTGAAGGTTCGTGGGTACTTATAAGTAGGGTGATAAGTAGGGTAACTATGGTTATAACCCGAGTTAGGGCACTTACAACTCTACTTAACAGTACCCATCAACCTTCAAGTAGGAGGCTCTTGCCTGCGCAGACGGACATGCCTCAATAGCAAATTTCGCTACCACAGAAGCTCAGCTTGTGCACACGAACATGACTAGTAGATAAGGCTCAACTTGTGCCCTAAACCCGAGAGCCTGACACCCCCCCCCAACCCTCAACCCTAACCCGCCTTGCGGCGTCCGTTCCAGGCTCTGCTTTGGCAACCAAGTGTTCGGATCGCCACTGTGGTGGGACTCGCAGTCTCTGATACCAACCCTGCAAGACCCTATAAACCCTATAAGCCCTATAAACCCCTAAACCCCTAAATCCCCATGCGAACCCTGCAATACCCTTACCCCCTTAAATTCCTAAATCCCCAAGCCCCTACCTAAACCCCCGAAACCCTATGCAAGGACCGCCGAAATTACACCGAGTCCCCCTGCACCTCTGGGTGTGTCGGCAGTGCGGCTGCAATGGCACGGGCCAGAAGACCCTGGCCTCGGGAAGGACACCCCTCAGCATCCTCTACTTGGGTTTGCTTTTTTTGGGCTGAGGAGCTATAGGGTTTAGGGCTTTCGGGTCTTAAGCTTCAACCAAGGAACACCTTGTGGCATTGCAGGGTTTGGGGTTTAGGGAGGGGTCGTATCAGTAAGGGGAGGTGAGGTTGCGCATTGATCCGGAAGGGGTTGCTACATGTGGGTATTTCCCCCCAAATTGGTTCCCCCTAAAATACCCCCCCAAGATGGTAGAATCGTTCCATAGGAACCCTCCAGAAAAGGGTCCCCCTATTTTCGGAAACCTGCCCATATCGGGGACTTGTTCACTTCACGCCGAGGTAACTCCCACGACCATGCTCGGGAGCCGGCACTCCTCGTACTTCTTCAGAGCTGCGGGCACATCCTTGGAGGCTGCTGGCTTCTTGCAGCTGGCTGGGGTTTGAAGAGGTGTGGGTTTAGGGTTTAGGATTTAGGGTTTAGGGTTTAGGATTTAGGGTTTAGCACTAAACCCAAAACCCAAAAACATGCAGGAAGGGTGGAGCCCCAACAGCATGCTAGGCTCCAGCCGCACAGAGAAACTGACGCTTCAAGCCTCGGAGGTCATACCCCCAAGCTGACATTTTGGCCCTGGAGCTTGGTGGCTAGGACCGATTTCCACAAATGCCACCAAAACATACGAAGCAAATGTATGAAAGTACCCCAACTCCTTCGAGTTTGACCGTGTGCCAACGCATGATACGGGCACATGATACAGCAAAAGCTCCCGCATTCAAAAGGCCCGCCGGGATCCCAGCACCAGCGCGATCGCGCTCGATGGCCTCGTTCTCCACAGCAGATGCGGCCACAACCAAGCTCTTGCAGAGGTCCTGCGTGCGCGGGGTAAGAGCAGTACGGGGATTACTTGGAGGTTCATGGTACTTCTTAAACAACTGTAACTGTACCTATAACCCACTTATCACGCCCCCTATGTGCCCAATATGGTTGTTTAGGGTTTGGTGTTCAAGGGGCGCATCCACAAAGAGTCCAGGCCATGGCATGGGCCACAGACCTGGTTTCTGAAGCTGCCCCCCAAAACCTTGCTTGGAGAGCCTCGTGGAACCTCGTCCTGCTATCAAGTCGATTTATTTCCCTAGCAGGAGCCAGCCCCGCCCCTACAGGCGTTTTTCCCCCAAGTCCCAAAGAGCACAGCCAAAGCACAGTGAATAAGGTAGGGGGCGCGCCTCTGCCATGGACCTCGGATCACAGAGAAGCTCGGAGGGCAGAGACCCCAACAGCAGTTCTCAAGTGGAAGCTTTGTGAATCACGGCCGATGAACCGAACCCCCCCCCCCCCCCCCAGCTTCTCTCGCACACATCACTACAATGTCACTACAAATGCACCAAGCGCCCGGCACAAATGGCGAAGCCGACAGGCTTGCAAAAGACGGCGATGAATGATTTTTGAGACGAAAATAATCATAGAATAGAAAAATGATATAATTTTGAGAATATAGCCTTCAATTAGAAAGTATTATAACGGCACCAAGTGAGGTAGGCGTGCGGTGGCACTTCTTGGACAAAAGCCTTGCGGAATGTCTGTTCCAAACACCCCTTAGCACCCTTATGTGTAGAATGACCTCAAAGTGAGGTCTCTGGGGCTAGGTTTGAACAACAAACTCAGAAGCTCTCAAAGATGCACACTGAACTGATGCTGTGAGTTGTCAGGAAGGGCAAAGGGTTGAGGAGTGTCAGTTGACCAACTTCCGACAGTCAACCGAATGCTCATCAGCGTCGAAAGCCTAGCGCTCGGGCCCTGAAAAGTTCGCTTACGAAGGGGTCTAGGGGTTTAGGGTTTATATGGATGTTTCAGAAAGCTGATTCTACTACAACTTAGGCTCGTGCGGTCCACGTGTTCTGCAAGGCAAGACCACATCGCCGTGCCACCCTTTTGCCGCTCACAAACGCGGTTTCGCTGCTCAGGGCACCATCGAAGGCCGTGCCTGCCTGTGTTGCGACTTAGGGCTTGGGGTGTAGGGTTTGGTGCGCAGGGTCGGCATGCCAGCTTCACAACAGGCCACTGGGACTCTGTGTGCGCAAGCAGAGCCAGCAAAAACATGGCTATTTGCATAGAAGGCTTCCATTTGATTGGTTTCGTGCACATGCGGTGCCCTCATGTCCCGGCGCTTCTGAACTATGCCCTGAAAATCTCTGACAGCTTGCCGGATCCGTCTTCGATCATTTTGGGAATTTGTGCTACTACGACCAAGACATGGACCAAAACTACATCATGTGCCACGTCCTTGCCCGCAGCAGCGAATCCTGTGTTTTGCGGCAGCGTTCTTCAACCTGCTGGTGAGTCTTTGACGAGTCTTTGTGGTCCAAACAAACCTAGCTTCGATGTATAGCAAAGGTTATTGGTTGAAGTGCTTCGAAGGCTATTTCGTGTTGGATTATAGCAGCAATGCAGATGACCAGAACAAATCGCAGTGGTCTATTCCTTTGTTCCTTGCTTCGAGAACTGAGGCTGTCATCTGCTTGACGTAGTATACATTACAGTATCAGATCAAGGCTTGCCCAAGGGTCCGACAGAAAGGACATTTTGCCAGGAGTGGTTTCTGCAGTCGCGCTGACATGTCGAGCTGGGGCCAGCCTAGACCCTTGTTCTAAGGGCGGTGCAACTTGGCAGGGCCACATGTCAAAGTCCCGCAAAGCCCAACCGATTTGAGCCAGCAACAGGGCAGACAGCATCCAACAACACCACTGATGACTCGGAAGGTATAGACTGCAAGGTCGGAGGTGTGAACTGTCATTGCCCTTTACCTTTCACACGCAGTTATAGTTTGCACTGTACTACTCATCTCAAACTCAGCGGCAATGGAACACAAAAAAAGTACACCCGGTGAGTTTTGAAGTACGATTTGTACGCATTTTGCATCGCTCGTTGATGCGAGATGCCCATGAACCACGCTCTGCTCACCTGAAAAGCCTCACGGACGGCATGTGCACTTTCATGCAAGCCCGCTTGGAAGTGAACCTTCGTCTCGTAGCACGTGGTTCCTGCAAGAAGGTTGGCACGCCCGAGGTCGTCTTGGAAGGACATTACCTGTGCGTAGGTCATAATTGGGATTTGCGTCGCACATTTGTAAAAAACAAAACCGGAAAAGTGCATGTGGCTTGGCTGCAAGAGACCTCCGCACGGCTACGTTCAAGAAAACCCATGTTCACAACATAAGCCGGCACGAGTTCCCACACGCCGTCAGTATCTCCAAAGCGAAACAGCCACTTGCGCGGCTTGACCGGTTCACCGCCCTCGAAACTGTCATCAGTCTTGGGCCCACGTGCTTCTGAAGTGGCACTTTCTCGGTAAACCCGGCTTGTCGTCGCCATCTTCGAAATTTCTGCGGCGCTCAATCCTTGGATCTGCAAATGGCAACGCTTTCGGGGGATCCAGCGAGCCGTCGTCGCCACCCTCGAAGCCGTCGCCGTTCTTGGACCAACTTGGACGCACGTATCTCGAAAGTGGCAACCTTACTAGCCGACAACGTGTGGCGTGTAGTAACAATGACAACAGTCAATGGGTGCCTGACTGGGGCCCGACTTATTGTCGTCACCATGCCCGTATCTGTCCTTGATTACGATCTTCGCATCTTCGTCGCACGCGAAAGCCCCATCAATCACAGGGATCACGCCATCCTGGTCCGTTTTTGGTTCCAGGTGTCGTAGCTGAAAGTATCGGCGCTGCCCGCACCATCGACGGATGTCAAAATCGAAGTTCTCGCGACGGTGATGATGGCCATGATGACCCTGCTCCTGATGGCCTTTCGCTGTGTAGAAACGCTTTTCGGGCTCCCCCCGCCCCCCACGAAATCTCCAGCAATGATCAACTCCCAGCGTGAGAAAATTTGCACGGCCAATGCAACCATAATCGGAAAACTACCTCTCTGCTCCGCCCAACCCATCCCTTATAAGCCAAAGCTCGTTAAGGTTTAGGGCTCTGAGGTTTCGATTTGACCTCGGAACACAAACTGCTAGACTTATGACAGACAGAAGTCAGAGGCCCAACTTTTCGGCGCGATTCACGGCACTTGAGTCTGAAGCGCCGGCTCATCCAAACCACTCACCTGATGCAGCGGGTCTGCCGCAAGCCACGCAACTAGAAGTTCATTCAACATTCAGCTTTGGTGCGCCCACGTTTGCCTGTCACTCCTCAATCAGTTGCAGCGGTGCATACTTCGGACAGCCATTGCCGTACTCTTTCTGTCTACCCCATTGTACGTTGTCGACGTCCTCTCCGTCTCACTTCTCCCGCCGTTGCCACCAGCCTCCGGGTCACTCTGGGCCTCTTCCTCCGCCTGCTGTTGGTCCCCGTCGACTTTTTTGTACTTATGTTCTTGTGTTTTTTCCTTTCTCTCTCTCTCTCTCTCTCTCTCTCTCTCTCTCTCTCTCTCTCTCTCTCTCTCTCTCTCTCTCTCTCTCTTTATCTGTTCTCCCACACCTTTAAGGCTCGCACGCCGGCCTGCTCGTTGTGCTCTCCTTCCTCCACCCGGCCAAGGTTGTCCTGAACATTCTCTCTGTCTCTCTCTCTCTCTCTCTCTCTCCCTCTTTCTCGCCCTGTTTACTTGCGCCTCCAATGGCGGCAGGTCTGCCAATGCCTCCTCAGCGTTCTCTCCCTCTCTCTCTCTCTCTCTCTCTCTCTCTCTCTCTCTCTCTCTCTCTCTCTCTCTCTCTCTTGCTCTAGTTCTCGCTATCTTTGCCTCCACAGCAGACGCTTCGGCCCCAGCGTCCTCAGTCTCTCTCTCTCTCTCTCTCACTCTCTCTCTCTCTCTCTCTCTCTCTCTCTCTCTCCTCCTCCTCGTCCCTCTCTTTCCTCTCATCTCTCCTCTCTCCTCCTCTCTCTCTCTCCGTCTCCCTCCTCTTCTCCCATCCTCGCCTCTCAACAATCGGCTCGTCTCTCTCCTCTCTCTCATCTCATCTCTCTCTCCGTCTCTCTCTCTCCTCTCTCTCTTTCTCTCTCTCTCTTCTCATCTTCGTTCTCTCTCATCTCTCTCTCTTTAATAAAATTATAATTCTGTTCTCCCACACCTTTAAGGCTTTCGCACCTTTCTCACACCGCCACGGCCTGCTCGTATGTTGCTCATCCTTCACCCACCCGGCCAAGGTGTCCTTACATTCTCTCTCCTGCTCCTGTCTCCTCTCTCATTCTTCCCTTCGCCTCTCTCTCCTGTCTCTCTCTCTCCTCTTCCCTCTTTATCTCCGCCCTGTTTCCCGTGCGCCTCCAATGTCGGCAGGTCTGCCAATTCTCCTCGAGAGCGTTCTCCACGTCCGATCTCTTTTCCTACTCTTCTCTCTATCGGTCCCTCTTCTCTCGATTCCCTCTCCTCTTTGTCTCTCTCACTCTCTCCCTCCTCTCTCCTCCCTCCTTCTTCTCCATCATTCCTCTTCCGTCTCTTCTGTCGCATCTCTCCTCGTCCTCATCTCTCTCCTCTCTCTCTCTCTCTCTCTCTCTCTCTCTCTCTCTCTCTCTCTCTCTCTCTCTCTCTCTCTCTCTCTCTCTCTCTCTCGTTCGTCGAGGTGGAGCATTTCCTGATCTGTGTCTTGGCCCCGCAGCGAAGGCATGAACGACCCCAAGGCTAGATTTGGGACAGTTCCCAGATTCGGGCTAACAACAACCGATAATGCCCAACAAATGCTCTGAATTCTCGGCCTCATTCGTGAGGATGGGCAAGCGCGCTCTGCGCGCCGCCCTGTCCTGGCAGATGTCTTGTGTGAGGTGCATTAATGAAGGAGTGCGCACCCCATACGCCCAACACCGCAACTCCCATTCCTCCTCCCGAACGATGGCGGTCAATGTCAAACCTTGAGGGTTGCGGTTCAGGGGTCTGTGAGAGGGCAAACAGCTTAGGAGTCGGTGTTCTGGTCGCTTCACGGGCTTGCCACCCCTTCCTCCCTCAGTTCCTCAAGCTTTCACCCACATCGGATCCCAGTCACACTGGTCCGCGTGCGTCGGGAGTGTTTGGGAGTTGGAGGGTCGTGGGTTCAGGATCTGCAACTTCTAGTATACTCGCTGTCGAGGTGAGGTTTAGGATGCGGGGCGACAGGGCGTCAAATCGGAATTTCACGTGGGCTTCACGGTTGCATGTGGGGCTTGCGCTCGGGGCTTGGAGTCTCAGACGGATCGCTCCTAGGATAAGATTGGTGGACCAGGCTACAGAACCCATCTTGCTTGCCGCCGGGACGTCAGCGCTAGCACA